ATAATATATATAATGTCCTTGCTACTTGTTTTGTTACTAAATGTTAACTTAACGACTATAAAGGAGAATTTGTCGGCAAAGGGAAGGAAGCAGCAGCAGCAGCAAAAGTAATTCTTTCTCTATTTTCCCTAATAAAATAAATAAAATTAAATAAATCAATAAATAGAAGAAGAGTCGGAAAGAAAGAAAGAGAGGAAGAGAGGAGGCAACCCCTGCATGCATGCATGCATGCGTGCATGCATGCATACAAGACTGCATGCACATGCATGCATGCACGCATGCATGCATGTGCATGAGGCTTACCCCATATCCCCTCCCTTCTTGAAGTGCCTATACACCGCGTGTATATAAAGAGACAGCTAACTATACACCCCACAACAAACTGCGGTGTATATACACCTGCTGCCTGTTATACATATATACATATATACATATTTTATTTATACACCCGAAGAGATAAGGAGATAGCATATATATATTTACTTATGCCTTCCTTATTACTACACATAATAAATAAATATATAAATAAATAATAAACATATTGGGGTGTATGTACACCACATTATATACATAATTTAAACCTTGCTAAAAGACATTGATCATGCATTTGCTGCAGCAGCTGCTGCTGCAGCTGTAGCAGCAGCAGCTATGCTGCTGCTGCTGCTGCTGCTGCCGTCCCCTTCTCCGTACACAAGACACAAGCACGTATATATGGAGGCAGGGGAGTGTTAGTTAATAGAGAGTCTGCTGTTGCTGCTGCTGCTGCTGCATGCATGATCTTGCTGCTGCATGCATGCTGCTGCTGCTGCGACAAACTGCAGCAGCTCATGAAGGTGCAGCCCCCCCCTGCAGCAAAGCACTGAGGTGTATAGGCAGCTGCAGCAGCAAACACCTTTCTTTATTTGCACACAATAGGTAAAAATAGAGGAGGAGGAGACAAGGGAGAAGACAGAAAGAGCAGCAAATAGAAAGAAGAGACACAGGAACAAGAAGAAAAAAGGAGACAAAAAAAAAAGAAGAAAAGAAATAAAAGAAGAAAAGAAGGGACAGAAAAATATAAAAGGAAAAAAAAAAGGAGACAAAAAAATACGACTAACGGAGATACCCAAACAATGCTACACTGCTGCTCTCCCTGCTGCTGCAGCAGCAGCAGCTGCTGCTGCTGCAACAGCAGCATGAGAGCATAAGCACGAGCAGGGCAGGAGTAGCAGCAAACAAATAAATAAATAAATAAATAAATATAATTAATTACTTCCTGCTCCTAGGTGCCTAGACACCTGAATATTAATAGTAGATGTTAATTTATATTTAGGTAAAGGCCTAAATTGTATTTGTATATATTGATATAAATGTTGTCCTTCTCCTATAAGAGGGGGACTGTCTCCTTTTTTATTGTCTCCTTTTCCTTTATTGTCTCCTTTATTGTCTCCTTTATTCTCTTTATTGTCTCCTTCTTCTTTATTGTCCCCTTTATTGGCTTCTTTATTGTCTCCCTTCTCTTGGGTGTCTCCTTCCTCTTGGGTGTCTCCCTTCTCCTGACTGTCTCCTTGTATAGTGTCTCCTTTCTCCTGACTGTCTCCTTGTATAGTGTCTCCTTTCTCCTGACTGTCTCCTTTATTACTGTCCCCTTTCTCCCTACTGTCTCCTTGTATAGTGTCTCCTTTTTCTTGACTGTCTCCTTTATTAGTGTCTCCTTGTAATTGAATGTCTTCCTTCTTAATGTCTCCTTCCTCTTTAGTGTCTCCTTTGCTGTTGTCTCCTTTGCTGTTGTCTCCTTTCTCCTGTCTGTCTCCTTTCTCCTGACTGTCTCCTTTGTTGCTGTCTCCTTTCTCTTGACTCTCTCCTTCCTTAGTGTCTCCTACAAAGGTGTCTCCTTTCTCTTGACTGTCTCCTCCTTCCTGACGGCTGTCTCCCTTGCTGATGTCTCCTTTCTCTTCGTTCTCTACCTTGCTGCTGTCTCCTTTCTCGTGACTGTCTCCTTTCTCTTGGCTCTCTCCTTTGCTGCCGTCTCTCTTCTCTTGACTGTCTCCTTTCTCCTCTATGTCTCCTTTTTCTTCACTGTCTCCCTTCTCTTGTATGGCTTGGCTGCTGTCTCCTTTGCTGCTGTCTCCTTCCCTATGTGTGTCTCCCTTCTCCTCGCTGTCTCCTTTCTTGTTATCTTCTTTCTCCTGGCTTTCTTCTTTCTTGCTGCCTCCTTCCTCCTCACTGTCTCCTTTCTCCACACTGTCTCCCTTCTTGCTGTCTCCTTTCTCTTGTCCTTCTAATAATTCCTCTTGGGTGTCTCCTTTCTCCTTGCTGTCTCCTTCTACAAGACTGTCTCCTTTCTCTACGCTGTCTCCTTTCTCTACGCTGCCTCCCTTCTCTACGCTGTCTCCTTTCTCCACGCTGTCTCCTTTCTCCACGCTGTCTCCTTCTTTGCTATCTCCTTCGTGGTTGTCTGTTACTTCCCTCTTGTCTATAGTGTCTCCTAATCTGTCTCCTTCTTCTTCTTTGCTCTCTT